ATAAAGATTAAATCGAAAGAAAAAAAAAAGAAATGAGTGCTGTAGAATTTTAAAAATAGTAAGAGTTGTGGATCCCTTTTGTTTTTACTCAGAGCTACAACAGTAAGGAAAGAGAAAGATAATAGAACAGAATTTTTCAGCTGTAGGTTGATCTTTATTTTTACTAAATTAACCCATTTAATCACTTTTCTGTTAGCAAATACAGTCATCTTTTTTCCTATTTTTTATTTTCAATCTGGCACCCTTAGAAATATAATAAAGGCAAGTATAATAAAATGATACATAATAAATAAGTAAAGGCCAAGAAATGAAATTATTTTTTAGAGAGCCAATTTTCTGCAGGTTAACAAGACCAAAAGAGGTACCAGTACCAATGTTTGCAACTATTTTGTTTTCTAACAATAATAGTTTCTTTTTAAAAAAAGACTATAGCCTTGGCTGGGTAGCTCAGTTGGTTAGAGCATTGTCCTGATCCACCAAGGTTGCAAGTTCAATACCTGGTCAGGGCACATACAAGAAGCAACCAATGTATGCATAAATAAGTGGAACAACAAACTGAGGTTTTCCTTCCCTCTCAAATCAGTAAAAATTTTTGGAAGTGAAATAAATAAATGACCCTCACAATGGGATCCTCAGTTACAATCATTTTTTGTGAAACAAATGTTTATGTCACACCATTCTGTCATTCTATTGATTCAAATTCTTAAGTCTTATTTTTAAGATTTTATTTACTTATTTTTAGAGAGAGGAGAAGGGAGGAAGAAAGGGAGAGAAACATCACTGTATGCTTGCCTCTCATGCACCCCCCACTGGGGACCTGGCCTGCAACCCAGGCATGTGCCCTGACCAGGAATCAAACTGATGACCCTTTGGTTTGCAGGCCAGCAGTCAGTCCACTGAGCCACACCAGCCAGGGCTTTAGCCTTATTTTTAAGGACGATTATGCGAGGATATATGTCTGTAACTATATGTATGTGTTTATTTAATAACTGACTTTAAATTTTTTTGAAAGTGGAAAAATGGTTTTGACATTACCTCTCCATCAGTGATAATGGAAAACTTTCCAAAGATACAAAATTCATTATTTTTTGCCAAGATGAGAGTGCTATTGATACATAAGCCCTTTAATCCTCATGGGGTAAAACAATGCTATGGTTTGGTTTGATTTAGTACCTTTATTTACATGTTAATAGTTATATAAATTACTTACACTGCTCTCAATTCAATAGATTCAAGAACTTATATTCTCCTATGAGTGAAGCTAGGTTTAGCTCTTATAAGAACTATTAGCTCTTATTAAAGTTCAATATTTAAGGATCACCCTTGCCCTGACTGGTATGGCTCAGTGCATTGAGTGCTGGCCTGAGAACCAAAGGGTTGCTGGTTCAGTCCCCACTCAGGGTATATGCCTGGGTTGTGGGCCAGGTCCCTAGGGCAGGGCCTGCAAGAGGCAACAGCACATTGATATTTCTCTCCCTTTCTCTAAAAACAAATAAATAAAATCTTAAAAAAAAGGATTACCCAAATTAGCACAGTTTAACTGCAAGAGTATTTTTATTAAATCTTAAAATCATGTTTAAATCTACCTATAGATGAAAATATTTTCATATTAGATTCTTCTCCCAAAACAACTATATGCTTGCTCTGTCTGAACAAATATACTTTGGAAATTGTTTATTTCAAAACAATCTCATCTTTGCTCCATTTTCAGATCAGTTTCATTTCTGTTTAATACAATCAGTTATATTCTAAACTAATAAAATGAATCATATGAAATATAAATGGTATAAACCTACATGCAAGCTAATTTACATATCAAATATTTACTAAAAACTTACGAGGTGCTAGGCATTGTGCAGAATACAAAGATGAACTAGACACTGTCCTCAACTGAAGCAGAGAGCCCAGTGAGGAGTTAAGCTAACAAATAAATAAGATAAATGACAAAATAATGTTAAATAAGATTTTAAGACAAAAATGAAAGGCTTAGGATAGTATATGACTATCAAATTAATCATTCCGTTTAGAATATTGACTTGGCTCAGAAAAAGGAAAAGCTGTTCAGGCAGGGATCAAGGTCTTGGCTGAGAAGTGTCACACGTGTGGTCACTACACAGGGTTCATTGAAGAACCAGGTTCTAAGTTTCAAGGTTAGAAGGCTTAGGAATCCAGTCTCACTGATAATAGCTATTAAAGACTAGCCCCATCCCCAAAGCAGGACCTGGTCCATATTAATGAATTAAGCCCACTGCATTCCAGTACAACTTCCCCTAACCCAACCTTCCTACTCTTCAAGTAAGCCTTCATTTCCTGTGCCCTTAGAACTATGTCCTATAGGTAAGTTTGGGCCTCCTCGTGTTTGAGGGAAAGAACTCATTATGACACTCCTCCTACCAGTTACTTGGGGAGGCCCTCTTGCTCCCCTTCTCCAAAGTCGCTGTTCTCTGGGTCAGGGAGCCCTGAGAAACTAAATGGACTTCAGGGCCCAGTGCTTCACTTCCCTGTCTAATGACCATAAAAATGCCTCACATATCTGAGCCTCTCTTCTTGAATAATCTCAGGGTGGCTGAAAGTTCTACTTCAGTCTGATGGAGAAATTACTTCAAGAAACCACTCCGTCTCTCTATTACCATATCCAAATGAGGCTGACAAGCATCTCTAACTGCTGAAAACAATAGGGGTATTTTGTGGTGAAAACTGTCTCCAGTGACCTTTTAGTTTCCTGTAGCACAAGTGAGGAGCTAGTGTGCTTTTCTACGATTACTCCCCCAACCCTCACCAAGCAAATATTTAAGAAACACTTGTGGAGATGTCCTTCTTTCTCATAGTCCTGGAACATCCTCCGACCAGCTGAACCTTGGTAAAAGAACAGGAGCCAAGAGCTGACGGCTGTACCTTTCCAAGCATTCTCTCCCACTCACCCCACTTCCTGTCTCATCTGTGGAACAGACACAGTAACCAAGGGAACTGCCAATTGGCCAGGACCTTTCGGATGGCTGGGGAGAGTTTTAACCACCCAGAACCCTCTCTTAGGTGTGGTAAGAGAGCTGGCTTCTCAGAAACTCTCAAGGCACTTCAGTCCCCATCCCTGAAGCCATCTCCTAAAGAAATACAGGATTGTGGAGTGTGGATGATGATGCGGTGCATCCATACATTCACTGTGGTTCCTGGTGCTGCCTCCCGAGACTTGCGTTCAGGCCTAGGAGACCTTTCCTGCGTGGTGTGAAGACGTCAGAGAGTTCTGACTTCGTGTGCTGTTCCATATGTCCCTAGGGTTGACCTAGCTGATCAGACCGAGTGCTTTTTCTTCCTTGCCTAATAAATGCCCCACCCAAAGCTACACACGACTGGTAAGAACCTTCCCAGGTAACAAAGGTGTACTCTATGGTAAAGGGGAAAACAGTAACTAGAACACTTGAACCAGAAATTCAGCATGAGCTCATTCCTCCAGGGCAGTGTTCACCCAGCCAAAGGTCAAGTCAGAGCCCCCATAAGGAAAATTGTCTCCAACAAGAGCAAGGTGGGAGGTGGGATAATCACTTTGCTGGGCAGCACATCTTAGTGTATTGTCTTTGGGAAAAACTCAGGTCCCATTAACAGGATTCCAAGGCAAAGCTCCTCACTGTGGCTACAAGAAACACAAAATGAGTTCCTAAACTCACCAACCTAGTTTGGTGGAACTAGACTAACAGTTGTCACATTTAACACAGTAAAAATCGCAGTAAAAGAATGTGCCTATCAACAAAAGCCAAAACCTAGTACTATAATTCCCAGCTACAAAAATTCTGAAAGCCACATTCTAAGAAAAACTGGCTTCATTTAAGGATACTCATAGAGAGGTCAGGCAGAAAATCACAGAGTAAATGAAAGGTGTGGTAATAGATGATCTAAAGGACACAAGAAACTATCTTTGTTCTTTGGGAACTGAAGCAAAGGCTGATAAGAAAGACCTGGAGACATGGAAATCTTATCTAAACCTGTACAGAGTTTAACAGTGTTCACACACCAGCAACTGATTAACCTTACACTCTTAAAACTGAAATGTCTATACTTCTAACACCAAATTGCCAATAACATCCAGTTCACAGCACTCTCCTTCTAATAAGAGTAAAGGTGTGAAAATGATAGTATCAATATTTTGTTTTTCTTAGATCACATTTTTAAAAGCACCCTTTCTTGCCTATCACTGGTAGAATCTGCCAGACACAGCAGCTTTGTGTGAAAGGTTACTGTGCATTGTCAAACTGTATTCTCAGCTCTATGAGCCGGTGTGAGTGAAAGGGCTTCAGTAATATTTGCAAAACAGGGGAAGCAAGGGATGAACATTAGGCTTTGGAATTCAATGAGAGAGAACTCCCACACAGCCTTCCTTTAGGGCAGATATGAAATATGTAGTCTTCCCATTTACTTTATAAAAGCACCTGGTTGCTTAGCATTTGCAAGAGACTTTCTTTCCGTTGTAAACACAAAACAAGTAAATGAGTTTTAAAATATTCCCCTTAATTATCAGAAGATATAGTCTACACATATTCTCTCCCTTCCTCATTGTTCACAATGTCTAAGAATCATGATCTGATTGCTGCAGTATGCTTGAACTATAAATGTTTAATAAGAGGCTGACACCAGCAGGGAGTAACAACTAATACCAGAGCAGGAGTGAGAGGTAGAGCATCTGGTGTTCTTAGATCACAGGTGAAAGGAAAATACCTGGACAGAAGCAGCTGGCTTTGAGCTATCTGTATAGGCACACAGATCTATGTATGTGGCACTTCTACCTAATAAACACCAAGTGAAGAGGCATTAGAACTAAGTCAAAAATTCACTGGCCACTGTGGAAGGATGACAGTATTCAAAAGAATAGTTTACAGCAATAAACAAATCACTATACACAATAACCCCAAAGTTGTGATGATTACTGAACTTTGAGCTCATCGTGAAATACTGCTTATTCACAGAGTTCAGTAAGATTCCAAGCCATTTCATTGCTACCACAGCCTCACCTGCAAGCAGGTGAACGGAGCTGAAGCTCTTCTCCAGTTTACCCAGAAGTACAGTGAGAAAACAGTCTGAAGACAGAGAGGCCACATCCTGGGAGCTTTGATCGTAAACTACAACCTTCTGACTGCAATCAATGTCGACCTAAAATGCAAATGTGAGGCTATTAGGAAGAAAGTGGAGAAAAACAATCCCATAAACCACTGGTGCTAAAGCAAATTAAGTACTTCCTGTTTTCTATTAAAATAACATAAACTTACTGAATAAACCTAGCATATATATGGTTTTAAGATGCTTGTAAAAAATCAACTTTTAAAAGGCAACTTGAAACTACTTCTGAGTAGATGTGCTCCCAACTACTTGATTTTAAATCCTTAGTACTATAAAAGGGTAAAGCATAAAAACAAAATAGTAAGCAAAATAAACATAACAATCCTTGAAATAAACACCCATTTAAAAATGGCTTCTCTATAACAATGAAGAAATCAGTTAATAAAATTAAAATATAAACTCATTTTTATTCCTGAAGAAAATAAATAATAGTCTTACCTATTATTTATGTCACAAAGATGACATTTTGGTATCCTAGAAATAAATCCTCAAAGATAACATCCTTAAGTCTTAACCAATGTCACCTTACATTCCTACATATCAAAAGCACTTTCTAATGTAATTATTTCTACTGTATTTCCAAGACAATTGAAAAGAATGATTTCCTTTCAATAAATTTGTAGATTATATAAAACAATGTATTAATAGATTATCAATACATACAATATTTTATATTGATACATAATAACCAATAAAGCAATTATTAATACAATTAATTATAACTTTGTATTAGTGTTTAAATTAATAAAACAATTTTAGCAATCCATTAATGGAAAAATAGCACCTAACCAAAGTAAAACAAGTTAGCCTCTTTGTATAGTCTAGATGTGTAGTCTTAAATGTGACAATATGGTTAATAATTCTTTTGAGTTATCATAAGGTACCAAAGTTTAAAAACCAAACTTCCTCGAATTATTTTCACCCCTTAAAAAGGAGGCTTCATTTAAAATTATTCCCCATTCAGCATATCCATTTATTATAAAAAGGAAAATGGAAAGCACTTACCTTATGTTTAGCTGAATGCTGGATGAGTTCTGTAATTAACACTTTGTCCTGTTGCAACCTTCGCTTCATAAGCTTGGAGCAGTTGATATTAATGGCTTCCAAAATGTGGGATGTATTGTATTCCACAAATGGCCGGCTATCAATTAGCAGCACTTTTTCCGTTCCACTTTCCAGCAGAGCCACCAACCTCTCAGTAACAATTTGAGTCCCAATCATCTCATGGGCCATGACAACAATAAGTCCTCTTTTCCCACCTCCTTCTTTAATTTGCCACGATGATGTAATGGTGGTGTGCTCAAAGGCTCAGCCACTCCATTGTACTAGAAATGTATGAGGTCAGGCTGGTGGTGACTGGCAAAAGGAGAGTTAAACCCATTTTCAGCAAGAGCCCTCCAAGTGAATGTCTCTTTCTCTTCCCGTTGATGTGCTCTTGCAAAGGACTCCTTCCACAAAGCAGCCCCTCACAGTTGATTCATAAAGAGATGACTGGAATAACCATTCCACAACAAAAGATGCTTTGGGGCAGCCAGTGCATTACATCATTCTTTACCTTTGCTCCCTCGCTGCAACAGCTTGACACTGGACTGAAAAGCCTACATGAAGAGAGAAAGACAGACAGAAAACAAAACATGGGGTCAAAAAAAGAAAGCGCGTCGGATTAGAGAGAGTGTATGATTCATAATATTTACTCCATTAATCTAATTCCATACTTGATGCACTGTTTCATTTGAACAAACAAACAAAAAGGACAATTGGGTATGGCTTCAGAAAAGCATGCTAATGATAATTCAGTTTTACCTCAAAAATATAAAAATACAAAGAAGACAAAACAAGATATATTCATGAATTATAATCACCATGGACCCAGAACTAAATGAGTTATAGCATGAAATTAAAAGAGCTATATAAAGCTGCTTGAAGTGTTATTATTCCAAATGGGTACCCTTCATTTTCTTTGCTTATTTCTTGCAAATAACACAAAGAACAATAGCCTAGGACCAGGGCAGCAATCCCCTATTTTCAGAACAACAACAAAAAACCCCTTTTCTAATGGCTTGAGAATTACTATAATGGTATGAGAGCGCGCACACACACACACTCCATGGTGCAAACAGCACACATCCCTTTAAAGTGCCCTCAGGGAGAAGAAAGGCAGAAAAGTGAGTAATACTCTTGTCATACCAACTGCTGAGCTAACTGATGGGCACCTGTGATGTACCCGGCTCCACCCAAAATAGTTTCAGCTATAACCCTGGCCAGTCCCCCAAAGTTCACCCCCCTCAGAGTTCCCTGACTCTCCACAGGCTCACCCCTCACTTTCTTGTGCCTCATTCTTAAGAGAATCACTGACTCCCTCCTTAGAAAATCTCATACCTTAACCTAGGACTGCAACCTACACACAGAGAGCCCTTCATACTAGACCCAATGCTTCCTGTTCTTACCAAACTCCTATCATCGACCATTTCCTAATACTAGTTGGAGTTCTGTGCCCATAGCTTGGACCTCATCCTGACCTTCAACATTTTCAGATTCCTATCTCCCCTGGTCCGTCTCTGCTTATGTGAAATTCTCTGCTACATAAAACGAAACATCCATGGGCACTCAACTTCTAGAGGGTAACGTACTTGATGGCAGAGGTTTTGTATCACAGTTCCCACCTCCACAGTGTTTTGCACCTAAGACACTCAGTTGACACTTTTCTAAATATAATCCTCCTTGTTCCAAAAACAGTTTAAGATACTGAATAAATATTTGATTAAGTGATTTCAGACCAGAATTGTAGAGCCCCCAAACATCTCTGAGCCCCTGCTTCTGAAGTTCAGACCTACAAATTAGAAAGGGAAGCACAGAGAAGAGGCAGCAGGATGTAGAGAGAAGTGGCCCTGCACTTACATGTTATGTAATTCTGGACAGATCACATAATCTCTGAACCACAGTTTCCTCATCTGGAAAATGTGGATATAATGTTACCCTGTCTCCTCACAAACTCTGTTTTGAAGACAAAATTATCTAAGTTTTCTAAAGTAAGTGAAAAAGCAACTACAGATTATACAGAGAAAAGCAGGAAAATGGTGAACAGAGCTGCCCTGCATCTGGAATCTAAAAGACACCACTCGGCAGATGAAAACAGAAGCAATTCCACCCTCCTACAGACCAGCTTCAACCAAGCTGTGCCCCTTATACAAAGCCAGGCACACAAAGTGAGAAGGCACCTGAGAAATCATTGCATCCACCCTGACCTGTTACAAATCAGCTCCAGAGACTACCTTATCAGTCCATTTCTTGTCTTCATTATATTAATGTATTTATTTTTAGTATAGCTTAATGGCAATGAGGTACAAAAGTCATCTCTGCCTTCAAATGAAGAAACTAGAGCACAAAATTCGTCCTGGCCAATCAACTAATACCCTTTCATAGCATCTGCCAAGGCTATAGCACTGAATCAAGTCCTGACGGCTCAGTGACACAGTTCGCAGCAATGCAAGGTCCTGTACTCAGATTGTCTGATTCCCCAACCAGGGCTCCTCCTACTGGGTGACCCTGTTTTCCCTAAGTGCTCATCCCATAATGAAACTGAACTGAGAAAGAATGACGTGACTTGTCCATGAGAGTGCCCGGGTGACACAGAAAGTGGAAATCCGAGAACAAGAGCAAGCTGACTCCAACAATGGCACCGAGTCTCCAAGTCTGATTGGCTCCTGGCAATGATAAAATCCGGATGGGACAAAGCAGTTATCTGGGTTAGCAGATCAATGGACAAAGGGAGGGAGATGACAGCAAACATGCAAAAGGCGAATTACAAGTTCTCATCTTTGCTTCCCTTTAGCCAAGTCTCATGAGCCCAAACCACTGACACCAAAGATTGGCTAGGACAAACCATCTTACCGGGCAGAAAATGGTCAATACTACCCAGAGAAACGGAGTCAGTAGTTCCAGATACAGAAAGACCCTTTCCTTGACCAAGCGAAGGTCTGGTAAACGTGACCCTAATATGAAAATGTAATTGAAGTAAAAGAGTGGAAGTGAAATGAAGATTAAGTTACACCCCTCTTACCTTGTCCCCAGGCCAGCTGGGGCCCTCCTATCACGCCTTTATGCCCAATGTCCGACTTTTCCGAACTCGATTACGTGAGAGGCACTTTTGCTGTTATCTCCTTTCAGAAGACAACTACCATAAATAACCCTTTTCTATACATACAATAAAGCTTTCTATTTCTCTAAAATAAAAGTCAATAAACTAGTATTTATCAAACTCAACACCAGTAACCTTAACCAAGGCCACTAAACAAATATTTGCAAAGTATCCCACTTCCAGAAATAAAGGTTTTTAAAGACTTTATCTAGGAAGGTTTAGAGACAGGCTGAGACAACATGTTAGTATAACAAAATGACTATACAAGCCAGGGAACACAATGGGCAAGTCCCCTAAAGAAATGCCAATTTAGATATAGCCCACATTTCAGCAAGCAATTTATATTTCATATTTTACAACATTTAATATTAACATCAGTTGTATAAGAACCTTCCCTTTTAATATACAATTTTTAAAGTTTTTCTGTCATTTATTTCATGCGTTAAATTCCATTTGGTTACCTACAGAAATGTATCTATGACTTTATAATGGAAATCAGTAGAGTTTTATTTATTGAAATTCACTCTGTACCCAACTTTGCAAGACTGTCAATGAAGCCCTGGCTGGTGTGGCTCAGTGTATTCCAATCGTAACCTGAAAGGTTGTGGGTTCAAGTCCCAAACTGGGCACATGCCTGGGTTGCAGGTTCAGTCCCCGATTGGGGCACATGCAAGAGGCCACCGATCGATGTTTCTCTCTCACATCAATATTACTTTCCTCTCCCTCTCTCTCTCCTTCCTTTCCCATTCTCTCTAAAATCAATAAGCATGTCCTTGAGTGAGGATAATAAAAAATAGAATATCAGTGAAATAAAGTATACTACTAAATTAGTTATGTCAGAGAACCATAAGTCAAGATTATTTTAATGATAAAGCAAACTTGTGGAGTCTGTTTTATTAACAATATAAAGTCTAACTGTATAAAAACCAATACTTGCCATTAGAGTAACTAGCTAAGACAAAAAATGTTTTCTTTTGATTTTGTTCAGTACTTGCAGCCTTTAAAGCTGGTGCCCAACCAGAAAATTCTAAAAAGATTAAGGTCCTTTTTAAATGATTCTATTAAGCATCTCTCTCCCCTTCTCAGATGAGGCATTAGTTTGTTCAGCTTACCAGACACAATCCTGGCTTCTAAGTCAGGCATACTGACACTAGGCATATTAAAAAAAAAAAAGTGAGAACCCTTCTCACACTGTTTCCACATCTACCCGTGGGTTATTTTCTGTCAACACCAGGCACTGCTGCCCCAACATTTCCGCTCCCAAGGCCCACATCAAGGCCTACAGCAGGCAGGGTCAGGGACAAAGCTCATGAACACGCCCACTGGTCTAAAAAGTGGGATCCATGAGAAGGCAGGGGTTACCCCTCAGAGAGGCACATTTCCATTTTAAAAACTTCCTCTTTACAGAGAAATTCTCAAAAGGAAAAGGATCCTACAGTTATGGGGTGCTTAAAAGGCCTGTTCAGCGAGGAGAACAACTGAGCCTTATTTGGTTGGGCTTGAGCTCAAGTTCAAATTCTCAGAGAATTTATGGAAAGGATATAATCAGGTGAGAAGTTTACTTTTATTAAACTACAGGCTAGTCTTAAATTTTTTTTTCCTTCAATAAAACTGAAGAAATAGGCAACAAGATACACCAAACAACCTTTCAATGGAACCTTAAGCAGACTTTCAATAATAGAAAAATCGAACAAATCACAAGAGGAAAAAGCAGGTTATGATGCCTGGAAGCAAGCAGAGCACCTTGCCTGTGGACCATCATCGCTCTACACTGACTACAGCAACTCTGCCTCATATGCTGTGGGTTAACCCTGACATAAATTCTGATGTCTGGTATTTGGTAAAATATATTTAGTATCAAAACAAAGAACAAACAAAACAACCCAATGGCAAGAAGGCTTTATGATCTTCATATGTTTTTTTAGTTGTTTATTAATGTCTTGACTATATTTTCTTAGCCCAAACTAGAGGACACATATTCTGACAAGCGGTGGTAATAACTGGACAGAGTGCCTGAAGCACAACTGTTTAGAAAGTACTAGACATAGAACAACACTTGTTAGCACTGTAAAATCCAGCCACCTCTCACTACTTAATAGCACGTTGAAAGAACTCACTCCAATCAGAGGCTTGGGTTGTTTACATACATCTCAAGGATCCACAGATAAAGGCTGGAAGAGCTGCCATCCTTCAAAGGCTGAATGTAATGCCTTTGTTGCAGACACAGTCCAGCCCAGACAGAGTCCAGGTTTGGGAGAAGTCTTCACAAAGTTTCTGCTAAGGCATTCGTGGGACTGATGGGCTCAGGTGGAGCCTCCATCATTCCTCCTTAGCACTGCCTCCTGTTTATGCACACCTGTTGCACCAGTGTCCCCATCCCTGATCCACCTGAGCTCTCCTCTTCCTTCCACCAAACCATGTGTCCTAGACAAAGCCCTCGCCACCCCTAAGGCTCCACCA